ATCCTGAGCCCACACTGAGGCCTGACCCTGGTTACATACTGAACCCTGATCCTTGTCACTCTCTAAGATCTAATCATTGTCCTATACTGAGCCCTGGCATCTGTTTCCATTGTTCTGAGTTGTTCCATTTGCACTTAGGGAGTGTGTAGCTGAAGTCCATCTTGACTTTTGTTGTTGTATTCAGTTCCTTCTACCATAAATGGTGTTGAGTGTGAGTGGAGGGAGGTGAAGGAGTTGCACTGGACTTTCCGTAGGACAGTGGAGAGCCCCTAGGGAAGCCCAGCTCTGCAGAATTCTTCACTAAGAGGAGTCTGGGCCTCACGGCTTCCTCCACCTTGGCCATATGTTTCCAGGAGCCCTTCCAGACCATGGGAATGGATCCACAGACTCCGCTGAAACCTTGGGACAAACGCTTTTGGAATTCAGGATCTCTCTGGTTTTCGTACGGTGTGTATGTGATAGTTCACTGAACATCCCCATGGGGCTGGAGTGCATTTATAGCCACCAAGAGATCCGTTTCCATCCTCATAACCAATGTCACCATCACTGCCAGCACTGACAAACATGCACGGTAAGTTTTGGTACATGCGAGCTTACGTTATGTCGGTTTGGGTCAGAGTTTGCTGCCAAATCTCACAAAATTCTTTTTGTTTTTTTTGAAGAGTTGTGAGTGTGACTCAGGGGCTGTTTGCCATCGCCAGGTGCCAGTTTGTGTCACATGCTGGACACTGGGGAAGGCTGTCTTCTTGATGGTTGTAGTGGACAGGCTTCCCTCCTTTTCTGTTGTCCACTCACTATCCACCACTTAGCGTGCCATGACCTCTCATGGTCACTCATGGCCATGGTAACTCATGGCCACTCATGGCCATGGTAACTCATGGCCACTCATGGCCACTCATGGTCACTCATGGTCACTCATGGCCACTCATGGTCACTCACAGTCACAGTCACTCAAAGTCCTTCATGGCCATGGTCACTCACAGTCACTCACAGTCACTCACGGTCAGCTGTGGTAGCTATGGACTCTCACAATCCCCTGTGATCACTTGTGGCCAGCAACGGTAACTTGTGTGTCTCCATGGTCACTGTGGGTCACTTATGGTCATTCATGGTCCTTCACACTCACTTGCATCACTTTGGCCACCCGTGGTCGTCTGAGGGCACTTTTGGTCACTCAAAAGGAGGCAGCATCCACCAAGCATCTTCACCTCCCCTCCTACTTCGATGCCAGTCTGGGCCACCACAGCCATCTTCTGGAGCTGAGGGACACTTCAGCAGGATGCCAGGGACAGGCAGCCTTCCTTTATACGGTTTGGCAGGGTGTTGTTTTCCGTTTGAATACAAGGGGTGGGGCATGATCTCAAGATACTCAGGCCCCCAAATGGCAGACCGCAGCCCACCTCTTGGCGTTTGTTGGGTTCTAGGAGGGGAACAGCGTGGGTACACCCAGGCACCCAGTCCCTCCCTGCTCAGAAGCAGTTACGTGTGCAGTGTTTCCTCCTGGTCCTGGGGTGGGGAGCACAGTCTGGTACATATGCCAGGGCCACCTCACCCAGCCCGGCAGCCACCCAGACAGGCGCCTTTTGGTAGCTCAGGCTGCCCTCTGCTGGACACCAAGAGGAAAGGCGGGAAAGCGCTGTGGATGTGTACACTCAGCAGGGTGTCTCAGGACCAAGCCAGACCTAGCGGGTCAGAGGGTAGACAGAGCGGGTAGGGGCCTGGCATTTATCCACCACCCACTGGGCACAGGAGAAGCAGCTCTGGGTCCCTTACATCTGTCCACCCACAGCCCCAAGGACAGCAAGTGTCCTTCTGATGAACAGAGGATGTCTCATGACTCAACCTACCCAGGACTTGGGTGATGGTGGGAGGTGGGAGGGATATGGGACAGTGGGGGTGGGGGCGGGGATGGTGGGGGATGGAGGATGAGGGTGGCAAGGGGTAGAAATGGAGTGTGGGGGTGACAGAACATAGGGGATGGAGGATGAGGGTGGCAAGGGGTAGAAATGGAGTGTGGGGGTGACAGAACATAGGGGTGAAGGGTTGGGTGCACAATAAGGGTGAGAGGTTGGGATGGTGGAAAAAGGGGTGATGGGGGTGAGTGGGTGGGGACAGTATTGAAAACTGGCAGGAACGTGGGACAGGAGTCGGTCCCGACAGCTGGGTGTCTTCCCAGGAGTCAGGAGTCATTCCATCCCCCACAACCCCTACCCCCCCAAACCCCCGTTGCCCCCAGGCTCCAGACTGCCTCCCTCTGGACCTCTGGTTTACCATTTTCTTACTTCCTTTTGTTTGTTTGAATCACTGATTGCGGACTTAGCCCCCTTCTGAGCTGACTCAGTCACTGCAACTGAGAATTAAGTCTAATGGTTTGGAAGCGAACTCAGGTCCCTGAGGAAGGGCAAGGGGAGCACGTGGCAGCCTGAACTGGGGGCTTCCAGTTAGCTCCCTGGTAGCTGCTGTGAAGTGGGAGACCTGAGGCCACCTAACAAGGAACTTGAGAGTCCAGCACTGGAGACCCAGCTGCTGGCTGGTACATGAGGGCAAGTCAAAAAGTTTTGCTATGTAATCATGGTTGTGTGCCTTGGAGTTGGTTCCGACCCATAGTGACCCTGTGCAGGGTTTCCGAGGCTGTAAATCTTTACAGGAGCAGAAAGCCTCATCTTTCTCCCGCACAACAGCTGGTAGTTTCAAACTGCTGACCTTGAGGTTCGCAGCCCGATTCGCAACCACTATGCTACCAGAGCTCCTATGCACCATACAAACCTTCATTAAACAAAAAATCCTCCAGGTACTCAAATTGGGCTCCTTTTAAACATTAAAATTTTAGGAAGGAAAAAAGCAGTCTGAAGGGCTGAGACCAGGGCTGTAGGATGGGCGGGGTAAGGTGTCCCAGGGAAATTCTTGTAGGACAGCCCTTGCTACCTTGAAGAATAAGAAAAGTGCATTGTTGTGATGAAAAAAAAAAGAAAATCATGGTGCAACTCATCTGGCCTTTTCCTCACCGAGGTAGTTTTCAGTTTTCTTAAAACTTCATCATAAGCCCTGGTTCTGTGTCCTTCAAGAAAACCTATCAAGATGGCCCCTTGGGAATTCCAAAACACAGCCATCCTGACTGTCTGAACTGACCTCGCTGCACAGAAGTAGCCCCGCTGAGCCCCTAGGCAGCCACTGTTCTCACTTGACCTGGTGTGAAGCTGTAGGATCAGCACTGGACTGCGAATCACGATGTCAGTAGTTCAAGACCACCAGTTGCTTCTTGGAAACCCTATGCAGGGTCACTATGAGTGGGAAAGGCACGTGACAAATGTATTATTGTGAGAACATTTGTAACCCTTCACGGATTGCAGACATGTTGAAGCATGTTTTGTTTGGCATGAACCCTGCGTGTACGAACTGGAACCTTTAAACAGTACTTTTTGTCTTACGCTGTACAGGTGGCCAGGCAGGACTATAGCTACAGCGCTAACTGGGCCTCCCACCCCCTCACACACCATCCGGGGAGGGTGGGTTTGCAGAGGAAGATCACACCAAGAGAAGACGTGGTTTTTAATTCTTTTTTATTGAAGAAAAGAAAAGGAGAAAAATAGATGCCCCACCCCCTCCTCCTGGACTGGGCTTTGAGTCCCGCCCCTGGAGCAGTAGGTGAGAGGGCGGTGCTCTCCGCCTGGGTCTGGGGGGCCCAGGGTCTCGGAAGGGAGTGGGGGCTGGCTGCTTCCCGAGGGGGTGTCTAAAAAACGGAGCCAGGCCGGCCGGGCCAAGCAGGCTGGTCCTCCGAAGCGGCAGCTCGGCGGGCATCCGGGACATTGGCCGCACCAGGCCTGTCCACTGTGCACTGTCCGCGCCGTTGCCGCTGCCCGCCCGCGGGGCTCGCCCGAGAGGGGCAGAGTCTGAGGCACCTCCCGCCTCTGGAGCCCTGTGCCGCCGGGCCGCCTCCTGTCCTCGCCCGGCTCTGGTCCCTGCACCCGGCCGGAGCCTGGCCGGCGTCCGAGCGCCCCGGGCCGCGCGGGCCGGGCCCGCCGAGCGTGTCTGTGCCCGTCCGCGGAGCGGGCAGAGCAGCATCCCTCCGGTGGCCGGTGCTGGCCGCCCTCAGACCTCGGTCTGCAGGTCGATGATGTCCTGGCCCACCAGCGGGATGGTGGCTCCGGTCTTCTCCCACTCAACGCTGCGCAGCTCCAGCGGCGACGGCGCCAGCGGTTCCAAGTCCTTCTTCACCCAGGCAGGCGTCCCGTGCGCCTTCCGCAGGCTCTCCCAGGGCCTCTTGTTGGGGGTCTGCTGCTTCTCGGGCTGCTGGCCGGAGGGGTGGGGACGAGGGCAAGATGAGGGAGCCAGGGTCGGGGGGGGCGGCGTGAATGACAGCAGAGAGGATCGCAGGGCCCAGGGAGAGACCCCAGCACAGAGGGGGAGGAAGGTGAGCGGGTGGGGCTGGGTGGAAGCCCCTCAAGGGCTTAGGAACCCACGCTTTGTAAGGGCGTCCCAGCGCGTGGCTGCCGCTCTTCCAGAAAGGGGTCGGGGGTGGGGGGCGGCGCGTAGACCCCATTGCCTGAGATGACCACTGGCTGGGCCTGCGCAGAATGAACTAGTGGCTCAGACACGCAGAACCAGAGCCAGGGAAACGAGGAAGCAACCCCTAAGGCTCTCTCCTTGGCCCCTTTCGCCTCGCCCCGCCCCCATCAGTCCCGCCCACACAGCACTTCTCTTTCGGCCCCACCCGCCCCGCCCCGCCATTAGCCCCGCCCACCTTGCTGTCAGCGCCCAGAACCTCCTTGTCTTTCTCCGCGTGCTGCAGCTTCCGGTTCAGGTCCTGGAACATGTCCTGGTGCCGCTTCCGGGTGTGCATGATTTTCTGCAGGGAGGAGAGAGGCGAGTCCTGGGCGGCCTTGGCCCTCACCCGGCCTCCCCGCCCCCGTCCCCTCCCTCCGTGAGGCCTAGGACTCACCTCGAAGTCCAGTTCCGCGTACCGCGATTTCCGCCGCTGTGAAGAAGGGGCGCATTGGCATGGGACTCCCCAGCCACCCAGAGCACGCGCCCTCCCCTGCCCTCGGGGACCCCACCCAGGGCCTCGGGGACACCTGCGCAGGGGATCGCTTGAGCTCAGGTCCCTCGTGCTCACAGGAGCCCCCATAAGACACTGACAGGCAGCTGTAGGCCCGGGACCCTCCACCCTGGCCACCTGAGGCTCTGCGCTGGGCTGCACATCAGGAAGCCCCCACCTGGAGCAGCCCCTGTCCCACTGTGTGGCTGGCCACGCTCCTGACGACCCCTAGAACGGGTGCCCTCCAGCCTGGGTGAGCCAGGGACACCTGCCTGGAGTCAGGGGGTAGGAGCTTCCCCAGAAGGGGTGGGCCCCCGAGGACGCTGCCCGGGCTATCCCTGAACCAGAACAGCCTGGTCCAGCCTGCTTGGTCAATCCAGGCTGGGGCCCTCAGTCCGGCCTTGGTCTGAGTGGGTGGTCTGGAGAAAGGGCTCGGGCTCAGGTCTCCCTGCCCTTGGCACCCCTCTCCGGCCCCAGGGAGCCAGGGACCAGCTCCTAGGGTCCATGTGGCGCTCCTGCAGGACCCTCACCTCCAGGGAGCTGACGGACAAGGTGGCAACATTGTCCTTCTTGGTCATGGTGCCTGTGCTGGGTCCGGAGTGGGCTGCTGGCTCCCCCTGCTCCCCCAGGCTGGAGGCTCCCGACTCCAG